TCGCGGCACCAGAGCTTCTCACCTACTTCCCCGTGCTGGGTGAGACGACCGAGGCTGCCAGCGCGGTGGAGCAGACGGTGGAGGATGTTCTCGCGGCGAACCAGGCTCACAGGCAGGCGCTGGCACACCCGGAGACGGACGAAGACGCCCAGCGCGCGGTGTTCTCAGACGCGCATTTTAGTGTGCTCGGACGTCCGGACACGCCTCTGCCTCCGGCGAATTTCTCCGGGACCGACTCCGCCGTAGCCGTTGAAATTATGGCGATCTTCACGGCGGAGGGAGTGTACATCCCGATTCAGCCCGCCTCGCCGCATTCCGACGTGAACGATCACGACTACTCGCGTAGGAATTCAGACGACAGCGGGAGCGGGAAAAGCGCGAGTGGGAAAAGCCGCCGCTCACGCCTTGTTGCGAAGGTGAAACAGAAGATGGGCGTGTGATTTTCTCTCTTTCCCTGCAAAGTGTACTACCAATCTACCAGCACGCAGTGCGTACACATGACGCCGGTGGGGTGGTGTTTGATGGGGTTGTATGTCGACGTGGTTATGATGCCGTGTATATATTTCTAGTGGATGTACGTCGCTCCAACAAATGTTAGAAGAAATTGCAGGCTTGTGCGCTGAAACTCGTCCAGTTTTCAATCTGTTCTGGGAGTGCACTCGGCCTCCGGTGTGAGAGTCAAGGGTCGGTGTCGACATACATAAAGTTGATTGATTCGTGGTAAGTTCAAAGCCATCCATTGCCACACGATATGTACACATCGACCAGGAGAACATTTATAAATATAGGTAGGTGGGATTCCGTGGGAAGGAAGTTGCTACAAGTTTTCTATGGAGTTGCAAGATATCTACATCACGAACTTCACCCATCTCCATCCTCTTCCACTGTCTCAGGTGGGATCCCCTTTCAAATTAGGACCGTTCCCACCGCCCATCTGAACTTCATTTTTGGCCTTTACGCCACGCCAGAAAATGCAACTGTTGGAAGCGTATTCATCCCTTCTCCAATGGAAAAGTTCCCAGATGCTTGGCTCAGGCCGAATTCTCCGACGGGGATTATCACCCACGGAGACTGGATCCAGGTCAAGGATCTATTGAGCTGCATAGCACCAAGCATTCACTTACCGTAAAAGCAAGCAGCGGGATGGCTGTGCTTTATCTTTCCACCCCGCTCCCTCCCTCCCCGTTCCCTTCCTTTCGAAATTCTGCAATTTTCAACCAATCGAAAACGAGCTCTCGAATTCTCGCATAAAGGTGGCCATCTCTGGATTTCATGACGCAATGCCCGACGCTCGCCTTGTGGATGTGCCTGATTTTTTAATTCAACCAACATATCGCACCGGGATTCGCAAACCTGGTCAGCCCGTTGGTGGCCATTTTATTACGTCTTCTGTCTCTGCACTCTACTTCATATTGCTCCTCTGCTTATATCCTGAATCATTTTACCTGTTTCTTCAAGTGCGCTCAGATCAAGGTAAAAACAAAATCCCGGCTCCCACTGGAATCAACTGTAGTTTTGCTTCCGGTTTCAACAACTGCTCGAGGCTTCCCCTGTCACACTAATTGCTATTCTCACACGTTCCTACCAGGCAAGTCATATGGCTGTCGAGGTCTGCATTTGGTTCGGCCATGAGTGGGAGGGAGCCAAAGTGTTGCCCCACGATAATCAGCAGCTTAAACAGTAGTTGAACTGGTGGAATCGTCCAGAGATATCTTTGCCAACACAGAGGATATCTCCAGTCTGAGCTTCACGAATCTATAGACGGTGGGAATGGATATTGCAGACGATACAAGGAAGGTACAAAGGCATGGCCAGTAATAGTCGTTTGTGCTATGCTCTTATTTGAGAGGGATACATGTCGTGGAGTAGTTTTCCAATATCCCACCTGGGGTCCTTAGCCTCCGAATATCCCCCGCGGCGGGCAGGCCACAGGCGACCATCCACAGCCCTGAAAGTTTCCGTCCCTTTCGGTATACGGGCGATGTCGATTAGGTCAGGCACCATGTCCTTGTTGTCCTTGAACCTCATCATATACTCGTTGCTCCTGGTATGGAAGTCGGAAAGATCAGAGAAAGTCGTGGGAAATTTCGCCAGTGTGTCATCCGTTTGTTGGGGCCACATTCTTAGCAGATAGACCGGTTTATTGCCCTGAGAGTCACAAACTCCGGCAATGGTGAAAGCCAAAACCTTGTTTGTAACCTCGGGCATGTACCCCAAAGGAACGACACACCCCAACAGACCGAAGCAGAACCTGAGTTCAATGGAAATGCGGGGAGGGCACCACGTTCCACCGTTGATTGTGGTACTGAGCAGCTTGGCCTCAAAGGTACAGTCGTCCCAGTCTGTGGTCCAGAAGTGGCTTTTCCCTTCACCCCATTGCTCCCGAGTGATGATTGGGTCTTCGTTATCCTTGAGCCAAGCAGGACAGAACTACAGAGCCATTAACGCCAATAAATTTACCTGCTGAGAATGACTCACCGGTACTGCCTGACGGACTACCATTGAACCCGACGGTGAAAGAAGAGTACTGGTACGAGTAGTAGTTGTGTATATCTGCGCATCGTAGTAAGATAGTGATCCTAGATGGGATCCGAGACGCACTTGAGCTATGTCAAATGGGTGCAGAAGTGTTGATTTTGGCCGAGGAACATGCGCCTTTATATACCTAGCGACTGAACGATGACGTAATCGATATTCATCAACTGCCCATTTTTCATCCATTAGATGCGGTGACTGTTCCGCGTCGGCGCGTGTATCATCTTCAATTATCGAACTATTCCTGGAAGTCAACTAGGGTCTGGAAGTAGCTACTGGGGACACTCGAATAAAGGGGCTCGATTTACCGAATATTAAATAGGACTTACCACGACTATGTTAGTTGATCTCGGAGATCTCGGGCATGTGGACGTACGAATCTCGCTATTCCGCAGTCTCAGAAGCGGGCCGCACCTGCAGCGCAAAGGACGCGCAATACCATAGACTGCTTACAGTAATCGGCACAACTGAAGTGAAAGGGATAAACCTTGGCGTGAGCTGGGTGAAAGGAGAAAATATGGGGCCGAGGAGCATGGACTGGCGTGGATTGCCAGTGGGTTGCCAATATTAATGCGATCCGGGGCTTTCAGGTAATTATGGCCAGGGTTGACGAAAATTCAAGACACATAGATTTCATACATATCCACAGAAGACAATATTCCTGCATAGATTCTTTCAGTCAACTCTTTCCGAATCGGGTGGGCTATCGCGGAGACGTAAATCGTCTCTAAAAGCTTGAGCCACCCCAGGTGCCAGGAACTCGATTCGGCGAAACATTTCCATCCTCGCGATAGGGTCGCGGGATTTGAGAATTGCCGTCTGCTGCTCGCAGACAACTTGAAGGTCTTCACTCGACATGTCCGCGTACCGCTGCATGGCAGCGTCGCGGTTCGCCTCATACAACGCCCGTCTTCGTTCCCCGTCCAGGATTTTCTCCAGCTGGGGTTTGACCTTGACTTCCCATTCTGCACCAAGGACGCGAATCGATGAATCGATGAAACGCCGATGCCTGCATAGAGGAAACGCACCATAATCTATGAGGGGTTTCGCAGTGTCGACGAGCTCGTGGCGAGTGAGCTCCGCACCCATTTTGTCCATTTCCTTCGACCACCCCAAGCCGACGAGTTTTGCCAGAATTCTGGTGGATGACGATGTGTACGGTGCGGTGAGATAGTTGGACAACATACGTTTGTTTACGCTGGGTTCTCGTGATCATCGCGCTCCACACACGACATTCCCGGGCATGCTGCGGGGGTATGAGTAAGCCGGTGAGACGATGAACGAAAGAAACCTACAATTCGCCTGTCAACAAGCATACGGTTCTGGCTTGTTACAAAGGGGGCCCGCTTTTGTGTGTCCAGACCTTCGTATAAAGCAGTCACGGCGGCGAGATCGGCGTTGAGGAACGCAGGTTCGAAAGCTGGCAGTACGGTTAGATAGGACTCGCGAAAATAAAGAAAAGACTGTACTCGGAGGACGGATGGCGATCAACTTTCGGATGTCGACGGAGGGGTCGCATGCCAGCCTGGGAGGCTGCTCCGGATCGAAGCGCGTCATGCTAGTGAAGAACCGATGAGGAATTCTCTATTTTGGAACTCGCGAACACCTACTTTGCAAATTTACACACAAAACAGCATCGTACTCGCAAGTCCCAGTCCGCCTCAAGGGTCGAATTTTTGATACAACCTTTGAGACAATACTTGCGGTTCAACTTAGCATAAAACTAGTCTCGCATTCGAATAGGGCTTACATGGCAATGTTCGGAAAAGGCTAAATTCGCGTATTGGATCTCTGTTAGGTCCGGAGGGCATACAGGTAAAGGTCCTTCAAAGTTGGCCCAGGCCTGTTTCCAAACGCTTCGCGAGCTCTGGTTAATCAAAAACGGCCGCATGGCTTTACACAGTCGGACAAGACGTAGGAGATCCTGAGGACCGAGGTAAAGGAAGATCTAGTTTCTAGCATTCAGCAAACGTGAAGTCGATGGAGCCAGTCAACACGGTACCTCTCTAGTGCAGTCTAGAGGCATATCCAGGAGGCGAAAGTGTCGGCCAGACGAAATTGTAGCCAGTAGCGCTGGATCTGTGGTCGAAGTCATGGCGGGAGACAGAAGGTGCCACCGGATAGCGGAGCCGAAAACTGGATCAGATTGATTGATAACGATGCGGTCACGGGCCCAGTGGGAATCGCGTCGCGTCGCCAACATTTACACATTTCTTTCGACATACTTATTAAGAATCCGCCTGCATGAGCTATTAGTTTCGGATACATTATTATTTGATGTTCTTATTAGCTAAACCATAATATATCCTCGTGTTCACACCATTTTGGATGTTGTTAAACTTGTTTGGCAGGCTCGTCCATCCCGCTCCGATGCATTGAAAGGTCCCGCTCAGCGAGCCGGCTTCCAATTTTCCAAGCCTTCGGGCGCCAAGAAGAGATATGAGATCGAAAAAAAAAAAACAGAACGACACTGGCATGATTCGAACATGCGCCCAACAAGTGGAACAGATGACTAATAAGGAGAATCACAGAGATTCTAATCTGTCGCGTTAACCACTCCGCCACAGTGCCATGTCACAAGAGCCATCTGACGTGGTCAATATAGCCTGACGTTGTGATCGTCACCCACCGCTGACTTCTGCCGAGGAAAGGCATCAACGGCAGTAAGAGATCTTGATGGTTGCATTACAAAGCAGTCTTTTTTTCCCGCTCACCACACCATGCATGATGGGCTACGCCTGAAAGCCTTATCAGGACTACCGCAGGCGTTACGGGTAACGTTTCACATCTAAATAATATACCATTGTTTCTGATCTTTCACAGAAGCTGGCGTTGGCGGCTTGTGCCACCAATGCTCCATCACAGGCCCGGGGGCGGTTTCTGGCCGCCGCAGCCGCTGCTTCGGATTCAGACGGACGGGCATGCCTCGCAGCTTTCTATGTGCTTATGGATCCCGCCAAAATTCCCTCCCCCGAATCCTTTGACTCCCCTGAAGTCGAGCAGATCATCAAGGAAATGCTGGTGACTCTCCTACCGCTCTACAGCATTGAGGTTCCTGTCGAGCTGGGCGCCGATTTGTGGCCTCGGGTATGGGAATGGGCGAATTTTATTTACACATACAGAGACCACCTGCCGGGACCACCGCTCCCTGTAGCAAACTTCTGCGTCGACTTCCTAATCTTCATGGCTAATTTTCAAAAGAACGGCGTACCAGAACCTTATCTATGCAGTTCGGTCGGATTCCGATCCCTTTTGACGGCCACATGGGGATTTGTCCTCGACGTGGAGGACCCGGACAACCGAGATCTTGGCCTGACGCTAATCACAGGTTTTCTCCCCGCGATGAACCCCGCGGATGAAGCGAATTTCGAGGAGATCATCGACGCCGCAGGAAGTGTTGACCATCTTGCGCAGCTGATCGTCAACTGCATGCATGAAATCCTCAATAGTGCGGAAACACCCCTCTCCTTCAAAGACATTTATTACCTCCGCGCCGTCCTCAATTTCGTGGCGGCAGCGGAGCACCTCGGTATTGCTGGCGAGCCTATGTATCAGGGCTCACTTGGACGCCTAGGCAAGGCTTTAGGCGACAACAATTTCACCGAAGTCCTCGTCGCTGCCGCATGGGCTGTGGGCGACGCCACCGGAGACACAGAACTGATAAAGTTCACTGTGGACCGTTGCATCCTCTTTCTCGCACGGCTATTCCTTCGCGAAGGGGGGCACCATTATATCCCATCGGCCATTTCGCAGGGTTTGCTCGGTGCACTTATCTGCGCTGGCCACTTCGATGGCCCAATGCAGAGCCATATGACTCTGTTTTTTTACGGTATTCTGCCGAGGACCTTGATCTCATACCACGCCGTAGCTGCTTTGGAGGGAGCCCTTCCGGACGCCGAAGAGTGCGCGTCGTCGCCGGTTTTCCGCCGTTCGCCGGGATTCGACAAATGGCAACGATTCTGCACTTCCACGAAGAGGTCCCTGGCCGTTCTCAAATTCTGTGAACAGTATGTTCCTGACAAGGCCTGCGATAATATAGATGTGAGCACCCTTGGCTGACTTCCGTCCCGTTCACTCATGCAGCACGCGCAGTGCCACATCATCAAGAGCAAGACAGAATTCCGGCGCTGCTCCAGATGTCTCAACGTCTATTATTGCTCCACGGATTGTCAAAAAATCGATTGGCGGACAGGTGGACATCGTGACATTTGTGGTGAATACAACACTCTGCGCTTGAGTCCGTTCTTTTTCCATCCCAGCCTTCGCTTCCATGATCTCATCAGTTCTTATCATCAGGTGCACGGACTAATCTCAGTGTCCGTGAGCGAGACTTCCTGCGTGCATACCTCGATGCAGAGTACACTTATTCCAAACCGACGATTTACGCGCAGCAGGCTCTGTGCCTGAAACGCTTCCCCAATTCTGCATTCCTTACGCTTTTCGACTACACGAATGGCCCGGTCGACATCTCCGTGCTACCGCTCGAGTCTGACTCGACGTACATGCAGGATCTGCGAGCGTATGGTGCGGAATGGGACTACAGCGTGGCACGCGCCCAGCGGAGCGGCGGCAGGATGGCGCTGCATGTCGTACGCACGCAGCACGGCACAGAGCCGCACCGCTACGTTGTGATCCCGCTGCGAAGGACTGAAACTGGCGTCAACGCGATACTGAACGACATGGCTGTGGAGCTTCCCGCCAACAAGGACGACCCGGCGGTGCAGGAGCTCTGGGCGAAGTTTCGACCGAGGCTGGTAGCGTCTGAAGAGGATGTTACTGAGACTCACTAGCGTCATAGGTTTGTAAGTATAGTCTGCTTGGAATGGCGCTGTGTATATTCATCAACCACGTCCTTTCGTCGCCACGTTGCCGGAGGCTGGTCGAGTTAAGCTGGGATCAGTCTAGTCCTGAACCAGGCGCTCAACCGCAGCGGGTTTGACTTTCCAGAACAGCCATCATCGTCCACCCATCTGTGGCATCGCGTCTCCGTCCTTCAGCCCATCTGCAACGAAGATTCCGAGCTCACTTCGGACTGTTTTACATCGCCGCTAGTCGAATTCTGGACTTCTTATCAGCGAGAACACGCCGGCGAGTGCTATTGCGCGAGGTAATCATGATGGTAGGGCGGCATTTTGCCTCTCCGGACACTCATTAGCTGTATGGCCCCCTGGATTGACCGTTCATCTCGTCTTTGTCCGTCATGGCACCGCAATAAAGATTTCGAACCTCACTTTAGACTTCCTCCTTTCTTCTGTACCAAGACCGGCACTCATTTAATCCCTGGCTCCTCTCTGTTCGTTTCTTTTTCAACACTTGACGGTATTACTCCGAAGCGTGTTAACTGCCCTTGAATTCCAAGCAGACCTTAGGTGGAGCAATCCCTGCAATCTTTTTTAAAATCCCACGGGTCACTGCTTTCAACGGTTCACCCCTTATTCGATTCGCCGTCCTCCCAACAATCCAGCTCATGATGATTGATGTTCACGTACAACTGCAAGCGCTCAAGAGACTGGACTTAAAACAGCCGGATGAGCTGCATCCCACCATTCGATTTCTCCCCTCCCACCCTCCAATCGTTCATATTTCTCCAGTCTTCATCTACTTCGGCAGTGTCCAGAGCCACCGTCTTTCATCATCCCAAATTGTACAAGATGAAGTTTCTCGCCTATTGCATCACCACTGTGGGGCCGCTGGCTGCGCTAGCGCCACTCTTGTCTTCCTTTGCACCAGGTGCGTCCGTGTGAATCCCAAACGAAGATTTCAACGAATGTCCATTACAGTGTCTGCGATCACAGTTTTTCCGCGCGCCGATAGCGGAAAACCCGCTGGCAACGCAAGCACCATCCTTGAGGCTCTCGACGAAAGTCAGATTCCTCAAGAATGTCTCTCTCCATGCCAGCCTATCCTTGCCGGGCGATCTGTCAGTGGTCGCTCCCCTCTGACTCATTCACGAGAAACTGAAAAAAAAGCTGTACTTAGACATGTGGCATCGATCTCACCTGCCTATGCACGGACCCTATGCTCAACAACTTGGCGCAATGCCTCGATTGTGCGCTAACCACGTCATTCAGTGACAAGTTTACCGGGGGTACCCTGATGGATGGTACGTCTCTCGTATCTTTTCATCCATTTGCTTCCTATCCGTGCGTTCTCACATTCAAATTTACCCAACCAATCTTCCCATTCGACATTCCAACGGCATTGAATGGAGTTCATATCCACTCGGCGGCTAACATGCTTGTTCCTTGTAGCTTATACGACCTCCTGTGCCAATAACAAGCTCCCCATCGCATCGCTATCCCTCTCGCTTACTCGGTCCGCTGCGTCCTCGTCCGGCCTTGCTGCTTCCGGCATCGCTACTTCCGCCCCCGCTACTTCCCACCCCGTTGCCTCCGGCCCCACTGCTTCCGGCCCCGCGGCTTCCAACCCCGCTGCCTCCGGCCCCTCTGCGTCTTCCACAGGGACTGTAACGCAGGCACAGACAAATGGCGCAGGCAATGTTGTGCATTTGCATATACAAGTGATTGCGGTACTGCAATTCTTTTTCATATTTGTTGGATTGCTGGTTACCGGAGTGGCAGTCTCTATATGATAAAACTGATACCTGACTGTAATGTTGTGTAAATGGCTTTTTATACCTCTTTTGATGCTACAGATTGGAAATTAAAATCGACCAGGTAAAAGTGGACGATAAGCTTCGATGCGAGTTGGTCGAGATGTAACAAGAAGATTACAAGTTGGATCTCTCCGGGGATCAGGAAACTCGGTGTCCCATCCATGCACGGTGAACACGGCGACGCGACACCAGTTTGATCTCACTGTCACTGTCAGCAGCGCGACGCGGTTCCTCCCGGAGGCCCGTGACCGCGTCTGACTCTTATCAATCAATCAGGTCATGCGGTCCCTGTTTGTTCTGGTCTGCCAAAGACTCCTTCTTTTCCTCCTCCATGACCTCGACTCCAGATACAGCCCTAATTCCTCCAGTTCCGTTTGACCGACACTTTCATCTCCTCGATGTGCCTCTGGACTGCATTAGAGAGGTAGGTACTGTGGTCGTCGGGTAAGTTTGTTAAATGACAGATACACTAGATCTTCCTTTACCTCGGTCCTGAGGATCTCCTGCGTCTTGTCCGGCTGTGCAAGACCATTCGACCATTCTTAATAAACAAGACCTCGCGGGGTATCTGGAAACAAGCTTTTGCCAACTTCGAAGGACTTTTGCCAGTGCCTGCATGTCCCCCAGATTTGACAGAGATCCAATACACAAATTTGGCGTTTTCCGAGCATTGCCATGTAAGTCCTATTTGAATACTAAACGATTTCTATGCTGACGGTGCCACTAGTATTGTCTCAAAGGTTGTACCAAGTATTCGACCCTTGAGGCGGACTGGGACTTGCGAGTCCGGTGTTGTTCTGTCTGTCAGGATGCAAAGTATGTGTTCGCCAGTTCCAACGTGGAGCATTTCTCAACAGTTCTCTCTCAGCGTAACACGGTTCGACCCCAATCAGCCCCCCACGTTGGCTTGCGACCCCTCCGCCGACATCCGAAAGTTAATCGCCATCCGTCCTCC